TTTGACGCTTATTTATTGGCTGTTACAAAATTCTACAAACAACTTTTAGACACAGGGCCTAAAAATTGATTAACTATTTTTGCTGAGAAAACTGTTAACTTTGTGTGTACAGTCTAGATTATCAAGGACAGTAGTCTTGTCAGGCAAGAGAAGACTAATACAAAGATTTAAAATTTTTCTTATAATACATATTGGCTATTTATATAAGAGAAAAGAGTCTTATAAAGAAAAAAGATTTGATGAACTTATGTTCCAGTATAAATGGATAAAATTTAGAGGAGGATTGGTGGTTCATGAGCAGCTATAATTCCATTTGTAACCAGAAGATGGCAGACTTGACCCACAAATGAACTGTTCAGTTGTACAGGTTTTTGATTTTAAATGGTATGGGAAGACAAGTATACTTAATTGGAAACCTGCTTTGTAAAGAGAATTTTTGGGAATTACAAAAAGAATGTAGAATAAAATGCAAGTAAGTAAACTCTGAATTTCGGAAATCTTCAAAGTGTCCACGAGGTGTCTTCCTGACCCCCCTCTTATTAATTTGCCATATTGAGTTTGCTTTGCAAAGTCCAAAGTAGCTTTTGCTTTGAATATGATTAAGCTTTCATTGGCTCTATTCAGTGTATTGTTAAATATCCATTAAATGTATTATAGAGTTGCCTGTTGAAACATGCAACTCTTAGGATTTGTAGTTTTGCATCTTGGTGTTTTGTTTAGTAAGTCCTAGAAGGAGACATTTAGCTTTACATTGAAACAGTCAATTAAAAACTTACCAGAACATTTTTTATTTATGTTGAAGAAAGAAAAATTTTGGTAGCAGCATCATTGTTTAATCAATTTTTTTTGCGGGGGTGGGGAGGGTGGTGGTGGTGGTTGGCCGGTTTGGGGATCCATAATTAAATTTTTAATGTAAAGCTTCATTTTATTTTTGGTATGTTTAGTTCTAATGTGGCCAGCATTGCATTTTAATGTGGATAAAAGATTGGGGGACATATATTTTCTTTATGGAAAACCTTAGTTGTCTTGTCTTTTGATAGAACTTTAATGTATAAAACATTCTTGGTTTTAATGAAAATGCCACCATTCGTGTGGCATGGATTCACACTGAATCCCAAATTTATGAGGAAAGAATGCCCTACAGAATGGATTTACCAAGAGTCCCACAGATGACATTACCTTTATTTCCTTTCATAGAACCACAGTACAGTAACATGTTTTTGTTCTTGTGCAGTGAAATACTCTATTGTAGCTCAAATTCAAATCTAAGAAAGATCAAAGTTAATGGAAAACCAAATGAAAGGCACTGGAGGTACTGGAGGAAATAGACAGAGGCATTACTTTGTAGCCTCTCTCTTATGCCAAAATTGCCACTCCACAGAAGTCAGGAAGCCACGCTGGGTGCTTTGTACCCCTCTGGTTAGTTAGATTGTTTTTCATCTGAGAACCTTTTCAAAGTTTTTCTTCTACTTCTGTATTTTTAAGAAATAAAAACATAATGTAAGAACATGGAGGGTTATGAAGCATGAAGTTTTATAAATATTTAAGCCAAGCCACAAAAGTAGACAGTTCCTATTTTCTTGACATATTGGGGTCACACTTCACTCTTGACCTCTTGGATTGAAAAATACAAGGAGTTAGTATACCCTTTTCTTTCTTTTCTCTTTTCTTATTTATTTATTTTTATTTCTTTAATGAGTTTTAGATACTGGGAGCTGTCCTGTTAGGTTCATGTAAGTTTCAGTGGACTTTATTGTCTATTCTGGCTTATAATTATGTTTCTGAAAGTTTACACTCTGAGGAAAAGAAGCATAGTTTATACCCAATTCTAGGCCTCCCTGGTAAGCTGTTTAATCTGTTTTTGTGGGTTTATTGTTACTAAAGTTAAAAAAATTTTTTGTCGGGCCGGTCCGTGGCTCACTCGGGAGAGTGCGGTGCTGATAACACCAAGGCCCCGGGGTCGGATCCCACATAGGGATGGCCGGTTCGCTCACTGGCTGAGTGTGGTGCTGACAACACCAAGTCAAGGGTTAAGATCCCCTTACCGGTCATCTTTTTAAAAAAAAAAAAAAAAAAAAAAAAAAAAATTTTTTG